CGTTAAACAAAACTGTCTGTTACAAAAACAGGATGGCAACAAATATCTACTGATGTTGGAAAAAAACATCGTTAGTATGCCGTTAGGAAAATTACAAATAACATTTATGACGTCTTTACTTTCTTTGCACAGTTTGTTTAGCAAAATTAATCCAAATACTCTTTCGAGTTTTGAATATATTGTTCATGAGTCTATGAATCCGTTATATCTAAACTAGTGAGATAATTCTGGAACCATTCCTCCATATTACAACTATATGTCTTTCTTTTCGCACATCACAGATATTTTTTTATTTCATCGATATGATAGAAAAAAAAGTTTGCACTTTTTTCTGTCAGGATTGTGTAGTAGAGATTAATTTTGAACAAGTCATGCAGCTACAAAGATGATTTCTTTTGCGTAGTTTATGTGCAGGCAGAAAACAGCAATACGTATATCTTAAAATCGTGTTTTATGCAGAAACGATGGCTACTTTATATTAAGTTTAATTCCGTATATCGACATCACAAACACTTTATGTAATAAATCAATTAAGTGGAACTATTTTTCAGCAGTCTAAAGTAACTTCAATAATTCTTCATTTTCACTAATAATGAGTCTTTCTTCTTCGAATGAAATGTATCCTATACAATATAATGGTGTCTGTTCGATCTTGTTTTTCAGTTGTTTGTTGCTATAATATAAAATGTATACACAACACAATTTATTTTAAAGTAATTTGATTTTCTTCACAAAGAAGCGTTAGAAAAAAAACCTTTGTGCAATATTGTTTGGCTGTTATACTCAGAATAATGGAAATTCCATCGTCAAAGAAAACTGTGTATTACAAAAAAAGGATGGTGATAAATATCTGCTGATGCTGGGAAAAAAACACCGTTACTATGCTGTTAGGAAAATTAACAATAATGTTTATGACGTCTTTACTGTTTTTATATATTTTGTTTAGCAAAATTAATGTAAATACTCTTTAGAGTTTTGAATATATTGTACATCATTGTGATATGTTTTGTTTTATTCTCCATTTTCTAAATCCATAAGATCTAAACTTGTGAGGAAATTCTTGAAACCTTCCTCTATATTAGAACTATGAGAAATAACAAACACAGAATACATAAAATCTACATTCGGAATCCAGAGAATAAAAGGTATCGAGAATATTCCGAAAAATTTAACCAACTAGAAAACTCATATAATCTAAGAATACAAAGGATTTTGAGAACTCTAGAGACACAAAAAACCAACGTCTACGTCAATTTTTCTAGTCAACAAGATTAATTCTGAATAAATAAATATACATAAAGTTATTCATCAATACAAGAAATAATAATATTTTTGAATTTTATTTTTTATCAAATAAAAGAGAAAAAAGGAAAAAATATATGTATACTATAAATGTTTTGTCTAAAATATGAGGCATATAGATAGTTTTCAAGAATAAGTATATTCTTCTGACAATTTCAATTTTATCCATTGTTTGCAAGAAATCTTTCTAATCAGCTCTCGATATATGTCAAGACAAAAATTCTTCTATTTAGAAATATGAAAATGATTTGTGTCATAATATTATTTGTTGTCATACAATCAATTATATCTCGTAAATAATCTACATAATTAAATGAGTGGATATATTTTATTGATTATATATCTAAATCCCAAAAGTGATAAATAAAATGTATTGTAATCAATGATATAACAAAACAGAAATAAACACATATATTTAGTTTAAAAAGTCGAAAGTAAATGGCTCCTTGTTTTCTATTCATAGTGACATGAAAGAAAAACAAAACTTACCAATACAATAAATAAATATCAAAAAAAAAAAAATAAAACAAAATGAATGGATTCAATTCGATACAGTTTCATTCGTATTTTCATACATATGTAATGCTTTCATAATTAATACTTTGATATTTTTTGTTGCATCACCTGCATCAGGTAAATAAACTTTATCACAATCAACTGGAATTTTTATTTTGGTATTTTTTGTATTGAATTTTATTGCTTTTTCTTGTTCATCATCTTGTTCTTCACTTATTGCATAACGGAATGTAATAATTTCCGGAACATTTTTTTTACTTGTAATTTTTGTTATTGTATTCAATTGACGACGTGCAACAAGATTAGCCATAGTTTTATGTTCAGGTAATTTTCTTAATATATATAAATGTGTTGATGATGCCAACAAAAGACTAAAAACAAAAATAAAATATTTTTAATTTTATTTTATCAGTTTTATTTTACCTTGGATGAGTTTTATCATTTTCATCATAATGTTCACATTCATATTTATATAAAAGATCACTACGAAGAAACCATGATTCGATATCAACAAGTTCTGAATCTCGTTGTTGAGATGATATTGTTTCTAAATAATCGAAGCAAAAAAAAACAACAAACTCAAGATTTGTTTATTTGTTTTTCTTTTTACCATCATCATCATCTCCATCAAGTGAAAATACTGATGTTTGATTTTGTCGATAGAGTCTATCGATTTTATCTTGTTTACTAACATGTCTACAAATATAAAATCAATAAGAATTTACTAAATAATTAAATAAATTATCTACCTAGGTTGTGAATTAGATGAATCAGGTGAAGATGTATGTGATATATAATCTTTAACTTTATCTTTTACTTCCATAGATTTACTTTTAACTGCATTTGAAATCATATTTATTAAAGAAGCTGTCTTTAAAATCAAAAAATAACTTTGGTTTAATCAACAATGAACTTTCAAAAATATGATTACTTGTGTATTAATGGCAGGTATTTTATCAGCAAGATTTTGTTTGAGTGTTGATCCAATAGTTGGTGAATCATGTATTGATGTTCGTATTGTTTGCTGATGCGCTTGAGTTAACATTGTTGGATCTTCGACTGCAGTAACAAGAACTAGTTAAATTATAATATAGAATATACGATACAAAAGAAAACTAGAAAAGCTAACTTTTATAACCACCAGACGCAATACCGACATATTTTGTATTTCTTTGAAGAAAATAAGCAACAACCATACGTACATATTTATCTTCTTCATTATGACCTGAACCTATAAAACATAGATGTTCACCACCTGCTGCTGAACCTAAAACAAATAAAACTTTCTAATAATAATTATTATTTAAGATTCATAGATATTAGTTCTAAATCTGTTGTCCATTAGAATGAAAATATAAAAACATTTTTTTGTTAGTTATCAATTCCGATAAACTTATCTATGAACTAAATATATAAAGCAATATTTTAAAAACATCATCATATCAAACGATATCACTTACAATCATAGAGTTCACTTTATATATCATCTAAATAAATATCTGTTAAAATCTCGAACTATCGACATCTAATTCAAAATTGACATTTACAAAAAAGAAACGTGTCTTTACCAGCATCAATTGCATTTTGTTGTGTAGCAAAAAGAGCATCAACAGTTCCAGCAAATTCTTTCGGATCTTCAAGTAACTAAAATAGAAAAAAATATGTTCATAATTAAATAAAATTAAAAATATTTTATACAAGATTTGCATCGAGATGAAATGCTGTACAAAGATGTTTGGAATTATATTGCTCAGCTGGACGGCAATCAACAACAAAGTATCTGACACCTGCCGTCTATAAAAAAAGAAAACTTTTTAGATATCTTTAATATAAATTAATAATTTTTTTACTCCGCCTAATTGATTAGCTTGAAGTAATTCTTGCACTGAGATAGGTAAACATAAGGCTTGATAGATTGAATAAGCTTTTTGAGAAAATGTTCGATCTGTTTCATTGAATAAACATGAATAAAATTCCTTTAGAAAACAAAAACATGAATTAAATAAATTTCAAATAAATAAAATTTACTTTTCGAAATGATTGAGGTGTATTTGAAGCATAATGAATAGCCAATGAACAAAAATCATCAAGATCATCAATCGTTAGATTTGTTGGAGCTTTAGATAGAAAATCTAATTAAAAAAATAAATAAATAGATCAATAAAAATAAAATTCATATATAAATATTTATTTTACCAATAATCTCACGTTTACTGTTATCAGCCATTTCTAATAATTTTTCTCTAAAAAAACATATTGAATAAGAAAATAAAGAACATTTTTTCTTAAACGTACTTGGCAAACATAAGTAAAACTAAGGCAAGAAAGAATGCAAAAAATTGATCAGCATGTTGAAAATACCCATCCCAAAGTGGTAAAATAATGTTTAATGAACACGAACCAGCATATAAACTTCGAATCTAAAATAAAAAAAACAAATGAATTCTTTTTAAAGAAAATTTACTAATTTACCCATATATGTGCATATAAATCTGACGTAATTTTTCTTGTATCAAAAAAACTACATAATTCAGGATCATGATAAAGTAATAATAATCGAAATAAATGATACGGTACTCCATCAGCTTCGCAATCACTTTTAAAGAAAAAAGAAATTAGTATTTGAAATTTAAAAACAAATATTTATACCGAGGAATATAACGATTACGAATACTAGCAAATAATGCATAGAGTTCAGATCGATCTTTATACTGAAGAGTTAAAAGTGGTTTAAAGATTTCAATCCATCCATTTCCTTTTTCATATGTTTCATTACTAAAATTAAATAGAGTGTCTTATAAAGACTTTTATTTTTCAAATTATTACATACTATTTTTTACAATAATAAGTAATAACAGCTTCAATATCATTGACTTTCGTTGTAAACAAATCTTCACTTATCTCTAATGAATCTACAAAATTTCTTTTGAGATTAATTATTTTATTAAGAATTTTATTTTATTAATACATACGTAGTAAACGTGAAACATCATCACGTATTATATTTTGTTGAGGTGAATCACATGTATTACTATCACTGTATTCATATTCATCATTGGCTTCATTAATATCAAGACATATCTAAAAGGATTTATCTTATCACTATTTTAGACATCATATCAAAAACTAACTGAGAAGAAACTATAAACTTCTATGGCAGTCTTATTTTAGTCAATCCTAAATACGTTCGAAACATTTTTCAGTTTTGAAGATTATAGAAAATATCAGAATCTTTTTAAAAATAAATGTCTTACTTTCCAAACATGTAGTCTTAAATCATCCGGAAGTGGACGACTTTTGCCAATATTACGAATTGATCCTAAATCACAACCACGTTCAAGTGCTACACGTAATTCATCAATCCATTGATTATCTTGAGTTTTTGTTGTAATATCATCATTATCACCAGCAGGAGCAGCAGCAAGATTATTATTTAATTCATGATGAGTTGAAGTTATATTCAAATCATCTTCTTCAAGAACAAAATTTTTTTCAGTTTCTTCAGACATTATCTGAAAAATATAATTGATTAAAAATTTATTCGAAATATACATAGTTTTATATTATTTTTTTATTAATAAATATATAAAACATGACAAAAAAATATTTCATTCAATAAATATTATCCAACGACAAAATCGTACCATTTGGTTCTGGTAATTCAATTATAAATGACTAAAATTCAATAAATAACACATATAAGAAAATCAATAGATCTCTCACAAAAATAATCCTTAATCTTTGCTCAGACAATAAGGCTCATGATTTGAATCATTAATGATCATACCTATATATAAAATCATCATAGCAAAGACTTCCAATTGTGTTCTTCAATATAGATTCGAACTCAATACCAAATAATTTCGATTGTAAAAACCATTCTACTACTTCGTAATATCACTTATTTTAAATACATTTACATATAATAAAGAATTAAACAAGTATAATAGAAACTAGTAATTAAAAAGAATGTTTATTTCTGTATAGTATGCAACGATTGAACACTTACAATTATTATAAAATTCTCCCTTAGCTAAAATATTTTGAAGAATAAAATAATTACTATAAATTTAATAAACGATCGTCTTCAAACATTAACAAAGTAGTTCAGTGTATTGATCATGATGTCTTCAAGATGACTAGAATATTATGAAGCGAAGAATTTTGTATTCATGAAATGTACTTCTCTGTCTCTATAGATCTAACTCAATCTATGTAATAATACTCTACAAATTTTGTTTTACGTCATACATTCATTAATTTCAAGATTTGATTATCATGTTGTATTCTATTTTATTGATCACTCTGCTCCTTCTTTTGACTATAGATACCAAATTATACTTACATATGTCATTCAATATAGATATCTGAAGCAAAGATCCGTAGTTGATAACTTGTTATAATGAATTGTCGATATATTATAATTATGATCAGTACCTTCTGATAATATTATTCGAGTTTTTAGAGCACATGTTAATTTTTTCGAAAATTTATCTAAAAGATGCAAAATAAAACAAAAATCACGTGATTTATGTTTCAAAAAGAAAAAAAAAATCATCACAATATTTCTATAGATGGAAAAAAAAATACTATTGTAATAAATTATGCATTCAATAAGCACCTAAAATAGATATTTATTTTTAAAAAATAAATAATTAATTAATTTTTATAGAATATTACCATGACATTTGTGTATCTACGGCTTGTCTTCTTACAAGACGTTTATGATCATCAACACATGTTTTTAATACATGTATGACATGACGTCGATATGGTTGAAGCTTATGTATCGGTAAACTTGTTATATATTTTAAACATTGTAAACTTGTAATACGAATCGACTAGAAATAAAATTTTCATTTTTAATATTTATCAAAAATCTTTCTTCTTTTTTACCATATCTTTTTTATAAGTTGATAAAGCTGTTAAACGTGGAAGAATTGTATCGATATGATCAATTATAGTATTTGGTTCAGATTTAATCAAATTACAAATTGAATTAAGTGACGATGACCAGACGGTTTCATTCGATAATGTTAATGCTCGAATCAAAATAGGTAATAACTTAAAAAAAAATAATTACGATATTTGATACTTGTTATTTATAAAAATTCTTACTGATATTATTTCATTTTGAATAATGGATTTTGGTATATTATCTAATAGATCAACTAATACATTCATTTGATTTGGTAATAAATCTATATAAAATAAAAATTAATACGTTATAGTTATTCCACCAATAAATAGAAAAAAATCAACTAAAATGAATGTACCTATTATAATTTCATTATGTTATTAAACCAAAAAGAAAAGATATCTCTTCCTTCCTCGAAAACTTCTATTCTGGTTTATGATGTTAGACAATCATATATTAATCTTATATACTGTTTGAAGAATAGAATATTTTCTATTTTTGACAGTTTTATGCGAATATAAATCTAAATTTATATCTCTTTCACTATGACAGAAGTGAAAAATATACATATATTACGAATTCTACTGTTTTATATTGAAATGATATAAAAATATTTGCTAATGTCTCTATATGTTGATACTTATAAAAAAACATCAAAGTGAGTCATGATTTATTCGATATTCTTTCATTGCAAAAAATTCTTGGTAAAAACAGGATAGAAACCTACAGTTTTTTAGTGTTGGAAATGGGTCAGAAAATTAAAAAAGTGTTTTTTCCCGCAGAGCTGATCAACAGAACAACTCATAAAATTCAAAGAGGTCAAATAACTCTACAATATACGTCTTCATCGTTTATTTCCAGCGTTGAAAATTGCTTCTCACTACTGTCGGATAATTTATAGATCATTCTCACCGTTATTAGTCAAAAATGGTTTCATTTTTGAAAGTATATTCATGAAAATAATTTGTTTGACCATTGGATGAATAATACAATCTGTTTGTGATGATAATAATAAAGATTGTTCATCGAAATTAGTTAAAACTTTTAATGATTGACATGCTAAATCACCAATTGGAGTTTTTTCATTCATCCATAATATTAACTTAAAGTAAAAAAAAATAAATATATAATCATAAGATTTTTCTTAAATTTTACTGTTGAAATATATTGTTCAATCATTGTAGGACGAGATAAAATTAATGCTTTAACTAGAATTATCCATAAATGAATATGTACTTGATCGAGAGATGTTTCACATTGTTTTATTATTGTTTGTGCTTGTTCAATGATCTCATCTTAAGACGAAAAATATTTTTTTTAGAAAATTAAAAATTTAGAATAAAATATTATTTACTTTTTGATGATAATTTATTGATTAAATTACCAAAAAAGTAACAATATATATTAATTATTTCATTGGATGAATGATTCAATATTTGTTCGAGTAATTTTTTATTTATTCTATTGAAAATTATTTCTAATTCATTTTGAAAAAACTAAAGATAAATAAGACAAATATTTATTTAATCTAAATCTTTTTTTTTCAATTACCTGTCGTTTTAAACTTCCAATAAAATACATAATTACTAATAAATTCATTTGCTATAAACATTAAATAAATTATATTTATTAATAAAATGAAAAATAAATTTTTATACTTTATCAGTTTGCCATATTGAATCATTGAATAGATTGCTTTGATAGAAATTCTCAACAAATGTTTTACAACTATTTCAATTGAATCAATTGTTTAGAAATTAATGTTTTTCTTCGATGAACTTACCTTTCGTTAGCAACAGAAGCACATTTCGAACAAAAAATTTTTGCATATTGATCATGATCAATTAAAGTTAATAATAAATCAAATAAAGATGTAAATAAATTTGTTAAGATGTATATGGGTGATAAATATTTAAAAAGACTTGGTAAAAGTCGAATAAATTGTGCTAAAAATTATAAATAATAAAAGTAATGAAATTTTTATTATCTAAACATACCTGATGGAAAAAAGAAACGTTCAAGACGTTCTTGGCATCGTTCGGAATTATGACATAAATCAATACAACATTCTAATGTTTCATTCGTTGGTGCAGTTTTAGTAACTAAATAAATATACATATATTTTAAAGTTAGTTATTTATTGGATAAAGTTGTCACTAACGGCTATTTGTCTCGGATCGCTCCCGTCCGATAGCACACTGACTGTGTAATTGACGTACATCAAAAGCCCTTGTAGTTAGTTAGAATGTACGGGAAACTTAAGTAATTCAGCGGAAGAACTCTAAGTCAGACCGGCCTTCTGTCCAGAAAAACGAAGATATTGTCTATTTTTATCGACTTTCAGAAATAGTTGTATGATATCGTACTCTATAATTCTTAAAATTTTGCGATTCATTCGACATATATTATAAAAAGTTGAAGAAAATTTCAAAAATCTTTCGAACTAATGTCACTGTCATTTCTCTTCCAGTATGAATATTAGAGTTTTGTTGATAAGAGACTATCATTCCTTGTAATTGAGTGAATGAGAAGGTGATAAAATTCCATTGTATACTCTTAGGTATGTAAGTTTGAGATAAATATTTTTTTCGAAAATGTTGAACTTCCTGCGAAATGTATTTATTTTAATAATAGATACGAAAAATCTTTCTATAGAATTCAATCAAGTAATTTGTATGGATATCATTATGTATCCTCCTTTAAGTAAGAGTACATGCACAATGAGAATTTCTTTGATTTTTCTGTAGTTTAACATTCGAGATATAGAATACTTTCTAACGAATTTTTCCTCAAACATTTATTTTTTACCTGTCCATGATTGAATTAAATTTGTAAGTATATTCGTACAAATACGATCAAATGATACCGATGATGCTAACATTCTCAAAACTGCTGATAATTTGATTCTATAAGTAAAAATAACCGAATTAATTTATCTAAACAAAATTCTATCTATACAAACTTTAATTCATCTGCTATATTATCTTGTAAAATAAATTTTGTTAAATCATCCTCAAGTACTTGACTAGGTACAGCATGTAATTGTAAAAGATTATGAATTAATGATAAACAATGACTTGGATATGTCTGAAAATGTGTTGATATAAGAATCCAAAGTTCTTCAGGTATACCAGATGGTAATTTAATCGTTGTTCGAATATCTAATAAAATAAATCAAAAGATTTTTTTTTTTCGAGAAATAAAATAACAAGAAGTTTTACTCGGTAGTTGAAGAAAATAAATAATCATATCAAGTATCGTTCGTTTATGATTAATCTAAATAAATTATTTATAACAAAATAATTATAAATTCATAGTTTATACTTGTTCTAAATTTTCAAATTGTTTCATAAGTAATGGTAATATACTTGACCATATAAGTGATGAACATGTTGTATTAGCACGTGCAACAGCATGAAGAACTTTTGTTGCTGGCCAAACAAGTTTTAAATCAAGTTCTTTAAGAAAATTTTCACATTCTAAAATTTATTTTAATTAAAGTTTTTATTTAATAATCAAACTAATTTTCTACCTCGAATAGATCGATCAACAAATTTCTTTGTTGAAATTTCTGTTTCATCATTCTGAATAGATTTACCAATTAATTGCATTAATGAAGTTATTGCTCGAAGTGCACTTGTTTCAATTTCTTGATTTTCAGCACATAATGCCTTTAAAATAAAAAAAATTTGTTTTTTGATTTTCTACTTTTCTTCATACTTGTTTACTAAATAAATTCCATAATGGTACTAAATAGGAAGTTATATCACGAGCATTATATTCTTCAATACAATGAATCTAAAACAAAAAAATATTTTTCAAATGAAAAATATTAATAAGTTATTACTTACAAAAACATCCATAGCAGCTAAACGAGCAGTTGGTATATCCGATTCAAGTTTTTCAATTAACATTGGAATGCAATATTGAGCAAATTTCTCATTTGATGTTAATACATTACGTAAAGAAAGAACAAGCTGTTCATGTGTAATTGTTTCTTCAGTTTCAGAATTTGTTGCTTTCTATAATCAGAAATAGAAATAAATATTTTTAATGTTAGGAAAGAATCTGGTTTCTATTTTGGGTTATCAAATTGTTATTTATAGACTAAACGTACGTTAATGACGAAAAATATTCTCAATAGATATTTAAAGAAGTTTAACTTGATCTCTTTTAAAGCTGATAATTTCTATTTTTATATATTAAAAGACGAAGTATAGAATTAGTATTAACTATAGTGAAGATCAAATAGTAATACGATCTTTGTTTGTCTATGATGTTAGAAACTAAATTAATATGCGGCATTTTATTATTATTAGTATTCTAGTAGTGTAAATTACATATATATATTCTTATTTGATTTTTTTACCATCGAAAATATTAATTAATCGTAGAAATTAAATTAATTTTTGTTTTTATATAAACACCATTTGTTTCGCAGACAAATAGCTGGCGAGAAAATCAATTAGAAGCTACAGTTTCAATGCCAATATCTATAAATATTGTATTTTCAATCAATATAATATAAACATACTGATAAATAAAAACTCATTTATTAATAGCCACTTTTCTTATCGGTGTTTTTTTTTGAAACTCTTATGAGACGGAAGTATCGTCATAAGTAAACAATCTTCAATGAATCGTAAGATATACTTTCTATCTTTGACCAATTAATTTACACTGTATATTTTACAAACTTGTTATTCGAGAATATAATCTTTATACTAATCGTAGTATAAAACTTAATGTTAATGTAAATTATAAATAATTAAAATTAATGATACCGAGATTGTCATACGTAGTCGTCTGTAAATGACAAGCTGTCAGAATAATTTTTAATTATATAATTCTATTTCTTTAAATACCAGATATATCTAATAATTACTGACATAAACAAATATAGCATTCTTTTAATTGATAATTTCATCTCTATACGGAATATATAATATTCTTACCGGTTTATATTCCATTGGAAAATAACAGGCAACAACTTCAAACAATTCTTCTTTATATGGTTCTAAATAAGAATATTTTCTTCATTGTTTGAATCAAATAGTATTTTTACCAATATCTAAATATTTCGTCATATATTGTAAACATTGAAAACATAGAACAAGATTTCTTGGATCACGTTCACCATCCATTGCTTGAATGAAATTACAAACAAAATCACTACCAAGTTGTTGAACAGCTTGAAAAAGAAATACAAAGAATATGTTTTCTTCGAAGATCTAATCTAATTTATCTTCTTACCATCCAAACGATATAAAAGAAAATGTAATAAAATAACAAAAACATTATATCGACTGGCTTGTGGAAATGATTGAACATAAACATCTGAAAATATTGATTTCATCATTATTACACAATCTTCATCATTTATAGTTGATTGTTTAGCCTAAACAAATAAATAAAAATCTAAGTTTTTTTTTTCAAATAAGTCGCTTTTTTTTACTAGAATACGAAATAAATCCACAGCTGGTTGTGCAAGTATATGATGATCACCCATTTTTGCACCTATAAATACCAGTAAATGATGAACTAAATATAGGAAGAATACTGGAATGAAAATAAATCAAAGAAGTATTATATACTTTCATTTGATTGTAGGAATGTATTCGGTAAATGATTGAGAATATTGCCAATTAAAGTTAAAGCAGTTGATCGTTTTGATAATTCTGTACTTTGTAAATAATCGCTAAATTAAAAATTTTCATGAAAGACACAATAGGGAATTGTATTTTTTGTTTCATTTACCCAATATCAACAATGAAATCTACGAGAGTTAATTCTTTCGTTATTAATACTAAAATACTCGGAAATATTGAAAAAATCAAGATTTTTGTTTTTGATTTACATACGTTGTCCTAGTTGATTAACAACTGTTTCATCACGGTCATTAACAAATTTTTCAATTAATGTTTGACAATTCATCTTAAAAAATAGTTTTTAAATAAAAAAAAAACTCTATTTTTTTACTTATAATAATGCACAAGTGATTATCACCATCCAATAACAATCAATGCTATATGTTTTTCTATTGGGTACAAAACTTATACTTACAACGTGTTACAGCATATTTGATGACTCATCAGCAAGTAAGAAAAAATATAATATAATTATCTACAGTAATAAAATCGATCAACCGATTAGCCATTGTCATTGGTGAGTTTTCTGGCTTAAAACATTTGTTCTTGTATAAATATTTGTTTTTCTAAATGAAGAAATATTACAATACTCTGACTTTTGTTATTATTGTAATCTGAATAATCAATATCTATTTTATTAGTTACAGTAACATTGCAAAGCATTATAAAAGATAATAAATAAACTATTTATTAAAGTATCAGTAACTATTTTTATTATTTTGACCTTTTCGATAGACGAAAACAAGTATATGAATATCAGTTCATAGCGTTTGTAAAAGATAATATGTATATTATGATTATCTATAAAATATCAGCTACGCATGATAGACAACCAGTACTATCAGCTGGTGAAAAACAATTTTTTTTCTTGTTGTTCTTTTCTCTCCTTCTCTTGTACTTGCATCTACAATTCGAGAAGAAAAGGCAAAAATATAATATTTATACCATTATTTCTCCATTTATACATATATATGTATATGTTTATATATATATATTTACCCATAATAGTCTATTTGTCATATCAAAACTTTTTACATACATTATTTTTTCATTTTATTTTCTATATTAATTAGAAGAATGATTTTAAACGAGAAATTCAAGTCTGTTTTTTTCTTACTCTATCATTGAAAAAATCGTCTCATGTATATATATATATATAGATATACATGAATAGAAAGACGTTTGTCGAATACATAAATATAAATATGCGTTCTAATATTCTCATGATGACAGTATGACATACTGCATTGACTTCGATTATCCACAGTTACTTAGGTCGATTAAATAAGTTTCTCTTTTTTTTTGTTTTATATTACCTTGATATTCAAATACTTTTCAGGTATGTTTTTTTTTATCAAATATAAATATTCGCATATCAGATTAATGCTATTAATTATAGCGAAAAAAAAACACTTGACTATTCTTTTTCAATAGGTTTTTTTTTCTAGATTGATGTATCGCACAATTGTGTATATTATTTTATTTATTTATTTATTCCAGCCATGTCAACTGCATAATAATATAGCATATAATATACCTGATCCAGGTGATTAATATTATGATTAAGTTTTATTGCAGAATACATTATTGTGTTTTTGTTTATTTAGATTGTACGGGTCCTTTTAATTTATGTACTGATGATGATAAAGAGAGACTTGGTCGTTTAGCAATAAAAGCTATACATGAACAAATGGATGATGACAAAGATGGTATGATTGAACCATCGGAAAGTAGTGAGGTAGAATTTATTCTCTAGGGCTGTCGTTCTCTTCTTATGTGAAATTATTTTTTGTTGTAGTTTATTCAAGAAGAATTAGGATCTAAAACAGATGCTATTCGTTATCGAAATTTTCAAAGTGCTGATTTACAAATAACATATAATGATCTATGGATACAATGGCACCAAAGTCCTGGTAAGATTTTTGTATTTAATTCTTTAAAATTCTTTTATTTTTGTTTTCTTCTTTAGTTTATAATTGGACTACGGATGATGTAGTTAATTGGTTAGTTAATTTTGCTCATTTACCAATGTATGTAGAAAATTTTCGTCGCAATCAAATTGACGGTCGAATGATTCCAAGGTTTGATAACGAGATTTATGTTTTCGATCTTATCAGTTGATTTATTTAGATTAGCAGCTAATGAAAAACATTATCTTTCCGGTGTGATGCAAATACGTGATCTACGACATAAACGACGTTTAATTATTAAAGCAACAGATGTTGTTTTATTTGGTCCTCCACCACGTAATTTTCAGTTTTTTTTAAATTTATCAAAACATAAAATTTTGATTTTATTCTATTAGGTACACATAATTTAATAAAAGATGTAATTTTAATGTCAGCAGTGTTTATATCTTTTGGTGCTTGTTTATATGCATATGTACGTCATCGGAGAACACAAGAAAGTATGAATACAATGATAAAAGAACTTGAAGCATTACAAAAAGCTGAAGGTGATCTAGTTTCTGTAACTGGAAAGTAAGAGAAATTAAATTTAAATAAAATCATATTTATATTTATTTCGAAAAGAATAAAAGCTATGGAAAATGAATTACAAGATAAAAAAAAAGTTGATCGTGGCACATTAAGTTCTTGGTTTGTTGAAGTACAACAAAATAAAGTAAAAAAACTTATTCCTATTGAGAAAAAAAATATCAATAATTATTTAATAAAGGAAGAAGCTGAAAAATATCGAAAACGTCGTAATTCAACTGTTGATCATGAAAAACAACTTCGTTTAGCTGTACAAGAAACAGATCAAGTAATAAATAGAAATCAAAATAAACTTTATAGAATATTTTATTTTTAAAATTCTTTATAGTTACGTATTGCATTACGTAAAGCAGAAGAACATGCTCATCATCAATCATACGAAGCACCAAGTGAATTAATTGAATTACTAAAACGTACTTATCATATTGAAGAAGCAGCTTTTGAAATTAAACGTAAATCAGCGGAAAATGCTATGCTTATTGCTAAAGAACAAGTAAAAGTTTACTTTGATCATTATTATTATTATTTTTAAATATTTTAGATGATTAAAATATCTAAAATGCAACGAGGTTTTTTTGGTGCTGTTCGTATTGCACATACAGGTTGTATGGATAATATAAGCGAATTGATACATGCTGCGAAGTATGTTTTAGATTTGTTGAGTTTTATTAAAATTTTATTATTATTATTTTTAATAGAGAACGTTTAGCGGATGTTCAAGATGAATATGAAGAACGTGAACGACGTTGGAATCGTATTGCTTCATTACTTGATCGAGATGATATAATTAGTAATGCATCATTATCGACACCATCAACAGGAAGTAATCAATACTCGCTTGGAAATACAAATCCATTACTAACTAATGGAAATAACAATAATGGATCAGCAGGTAGTTATATATAAAGTAGATAATTATGTAATAATCATAATTTCATGATTAGTTTCTCGTATTCGAGGTGAGTGGCTCATAAATTGTCCACGGAAAAAAATATTCCTAACACTTGACGCATGCACATATTCACTGCTTTAAAATTTTTAAGCTTTTTAGTAATTCTATTTTAATGAATAATATAACAAGAATACAACATGCACGAAATCTCATGGACCTTCTTCTTGTTTATTGATAAGTAAAATAAGTTTTTATGTAGGATCTGATATTCGTCTTCTTACTGGAACGATAGGTAGGGAATGATTATTTGGTTATATGCACATATTTATTTTCAGTCTCCCTTGAGCAATCATGAATTGTGTTTTTTTTCATAAATAGAGTTTTCTTACATTTAGATTCAACTGTTCGATCTAAACAAACATCTCTCGATGCAAATAAATTAATTAATACTGATCATGATTCATCCATGATTAATAAAAATAGCAGGTACCTATCGATTTCTTTTTAAAAATAATGATTGCAATATACATAGAGATTTTATCAAAAATACTATTCACCTGAATTAATAGACTAGATGAAAGAAAAAAGGTGATTTTTAAATATAGCTAGATCGAAATAAAAAAGCATACTATGTGCCAACAGACGCACATGCTTCGAGTTAATAATTCGCCATGTATATTTCGAATAAAGAAGTGCATTTCTGCTAATGCCGATTTTCAAAATTTGTTTTGTTAAGTATAATCCTCTAAATTACACTATTTAATTATTTAGTTCAATGAATAATCGTGGAGCATCAATGAATTCCTCATATCCAGCTCATATTTCTCAATTAGATACAATTAGTCTCACTGATAGTAATTTTGATTATCCAAATTCTCCATCTACAGCATTAAAACGACGTACAGTTACACATAATATTATATCTGGTAATCGTTCATCAACTGAACGTCTTCTTAATAATTCAGCAATAAGATATTCACAGTCAACAAATGGTCTCTATGATACAAATATAAATTCATCAAATGTATCACGACAAGATACATCGGATTCAATTGATATACCATCTTTACCAAAACAAACAAAACCAATATTTGATATTATTACTGATCTTCAAAATGAAAATAATGAGTTTATTCTTGATGATCAAGATAGAAAATCTCATCGATTTGATTCCTTATCAGATGATCAACAATCAGTAGCATCGTCAACGAAATCTCGAAAACAAGATTTATCAACAAAATTACTTAGACCATTTCATATACGTTTGAGAAAAAAGAGTGGCAGTTAATGATAGAATGATTTTTTATACTTATTCTATCATAATATGTTTGCCGGTGTTTGCTCAACAATCTCAAAATTCTTTGTTCTTTTTTTCCAAATTTTCGTGTATACATTGAAATCAAATTTTTGATCTCTTTTAGTAACATCATCGAATCTTTCGTTTTTTTTTAATCTGTGTATATGTATAAATATGAGAAAAAAGCTACAGAAAAAGCGAAATACATTTTTTATTGTGTTATATTCAGATGAATATTTAATTGACAATATGTTCTTTTTATTAAGAAATTTTAAAAAATAATTGTTGATAAATTAAATTATTTCTTTTTTTCTAAATAAAAATATAATATGAAAATGAATCTGTAAGATATTTGAATTTATTATAAATGATGAATTTTGTTGATTCTAATTTAGTCTTTTTTGTTTCGTTATTTTCATCAAATAGATTACTTAGATTTGTATTGGTGAATGAGTCAAACAATATAAGATATTGATATGAATACTAAATTACTTTTTTTCTAACAATTAGATGAAATGAAGCGTAAAGACGATTAATCTAATTTTTCTATTCATACAAAAAAGATAATAGTATCATTTATTTATACATCTATATATATACACAATTGAATTGAAACAAATTGTTACCAGTAATCTATAGTTTGATATTAACAAATGAAAATCGTTTATCTAATGAGATATGACAAAAAATAGAAATTCTTCTCTTTCCTGACTATTTTACTTTTATCGATACTGATATATATATATTGATATTCGAATGCAAATTAAAGCGTAACATTGTTATTCATATAAATATGAGTGATGTATAAAGAAGGAAAAATATTATCTATACATCTTATTTGAAAATAAATAAATATTAATTTAAAACTATTCTTTTCAATTATTTTACTTTAAAATAAACAAATATATATATTTTTTTAGAAAAAAAAACAATTACATTTATAAACGTCCTTTCAACTGAATAATACAAATAAATATATCTATATAATTTATTATTTCCTATTCAATTTCGTCGGCTCGTCAGTTGTCTTAGAAAAATAATCGATTTTTATAATCGATGATACAAATATTTCTTTACGTTGCCTATTTTCATTTAGATATTGTTTTCTTTTTTTATTCCTATAAATTTATTCGTCTTCGCTTCCAGCCATACTTTCATTATTATGACCACCTACATTATCCATAGAAGGATCATCCTCCGATGAGAGAGTTTTTGACATTTTAAGTACATTTTGTCTTTCAACAAGCCATTTCCAAATTGCTGAATTATCAGTATGATCGAGATTAAAACCAGATCGTCCAAAATACCGTCTTAATTGATCATCATGTACATGTATTGTTAATAAACGTGCACCAGCTTGTCGAGCAAAATGTTCGACACATTCCATCATAGCTCCTCCTATACCATTATTTCTAAATGCAGTTTTAACACCAATCATTTCAATATAACATTCTTCAATATTAGTTGGAGTATAATTTGCATTTCGTATCATCCAACGACGCATTGATGTAAAACATGAACTTGATTGTGGAAGTATATTAGTATTTGCAATTGTTCCTGGTTCACCAGGAAATGATAATTTAACTGCTGCTACAACATCACCATTCATTTTTCCAAGAAGTACATTTTGATATTCATTTGAATTCGTATCCGAACTTATACGAGTTTTTAATGCTAAACGAAATTCTTGTAATTGTTCACGCGAACCAATAAGATGACCTAAACGGTTATTAAGTGTTTCAAAATAAATATCAAGATAAGCATCAATATCAGCTAAGCTGAATTCATGTATTTCAATTGTATCATTTTCACCACCTGTCGTATATGATGATAGCATTGTTTCAGGATCCGTAGTTATATGATTTGTTGGTTTAATTTCTCGTCTTAGATCCCGTTTTGGATCTTCATCATCATCATCATCTGTAACTGCAGTTAATTCAACATGTTGATAAGTTTGTGAACCTGAATAAGTACTTTGAAGTGGAGTTAACTGTTTATTTGATCGATTACTGTTTCTAGCCGGAGTATCATCTATTGATATTGAATTTGTTAATGTTGCTCGATAATTATTTTTACCAGCATTATCATCTTTTGGTATTGAATTTGTTGATGTCGCTTGATAACTATTTCTACTAGCAATATCATCTTTTGGTAATGAATCTGTTGATGTTGCTCGATAGCTATTTCTACCAGTATTGACATCTATTGGTATTGAATTTGTTGATGCTGCTCGATAACTATTTCCACCAGTATTATCATCTTTTGGTATTGAACTTGCTGATGTTAATAAAGCTGATTCATTTGCTTTTTTAGTATCAGAATTTTTTGATAGTCGTGCTGAAATCGTTTCTGATAATGAATCATTACCATTTTCTATGACGTCTTTTGTGTTCTCTATAAGAGGAGTTGGTTTACCACGTTTTGGTTTTTTTATTAATGTTGTATTATCTTTTTCATCAGTTGTTCCCGAAGGTGATTTATCTGTAGCCATCATTGATTAATTTTCATTCAAAATTAAAATCCAGATGAAGACAAATGACCCTGAAGATCGTTTTCTTTTGCTTCTTTTCGTTAACTGAAGGTCTGTATTTGATTGCGAAAACGAAGAAAAAAAAAACATGCGCGCGTACATATCGAGAAAAAAAATCGACCCGTTCAGGCGTAACATTACTTCCATAAGTAAGTATTTTTCGCTGTTCTGCGTATTTAGAAAAAAAGGACGACCCAGAGACAACGATTAATTATGTGCTTATTTCGTATATTTTTTAACTTGCTATTATTATTATTTATCTATAGCCATTATTTATTACCTTGTAGATGGTATATATTCTATGAATAATAGATAATAAACAATAGAATAAAAAATATTTTCGTAATAAATCTTAATATTTATCGTAATTCAATCGATTTTATTTAGTTCTCTTTTTCAATGTTTAATTGAAGTTTGTCGTGCTTCATTTATTGTAATCGATACTTGTCGATAAAATGGAGGTTAGATAAATATATACATATGTATAAAGACATATTCATTAATATTACGTAAGTTAATGTCAAAGCAATTTGAAGTAAATGATAGATAAATTATAATATTATAGTACTGTTCAACAAAAAAAATCTTCTACGTACAAATTATTTATTTTGTTTTTAGAAGAAAAAAATCTACTCAATATATTCCATTACTAAACCTTTCGAAACAAGATTATAGATGATAAATCATTTGTTATATCACTAAAAAATCTAATAATTTCATAATTTTAAATCTAAATCAGCTTATGAAGGTTACTATTTTAGATTGAATCGCTACTTTTCTAACACATCTTTTCGCATCGCTGATTAGTTGAATACCTTATGGTTTATATCAGAACGTTAGTTTTTTTACACTGAATAACCTCTGAATACGAATGATTATGCTTTCTCATATGTTTATTTGTATGAGCCAATGCTTTATTTAACCAAATGAGAATAAAAATAATTGTCATACAGATATCTTTGAATATATACACTTTTTCCAATTGAAAAAAAGAAGAAGAGAAAAATTAAATTTGTTTTACTAAGTAAATATGACAGTAAAAATACTGGATAATTAAGTCCGAAGTCGAGGTGAATCTTTACCACGATATACAACAGGAGTTGGTGTTGATGATCCGAAAGAGTTTAAATCATCTCGATTAAGTAATGTTGCAATTCTATTCCAACGTTGTTCACGTTCTTCATATTCATCATGAATAACGATCAATCGATCTCTAAACAATTATTTGACTATTAAAGAAAAACAAAAAAGAAAACTGCAATATTTTACTTTGCTGCATTGATTAATTCGCCAACATTATCTATACAATTTGTATGCGCAATACGTACAGCGCCAAAAAAACCTTTTTGCATTTTAGATATTTTATTCATCTATGATATTTAGAAATAATGATAATAATAATCAAAGTAAATCTTTACTTGTTCTTTCGCTGTAATTAAAGCAGTTTCAGCTAATTTTCGTTTAACTTCAAAAGCTGCTTCTTCATTATGATAAGTACGTCTCAATAATTCAAATAATTCATTTGGTGGTTCATAGGATTGATGTTGAGCATGTTCTTCTGCTTTACGTAATGCAAGTTGTAACTTAAAAAAAAGAAAACATTTTTTTATTTTTGAAAATTAATGAATAAATATATTTATTTACTTGTTCAATTTCTTGTAAAGCAAGACTCAATTGTTTTTCATGATCAATAGCAGAATCACGACGTTTACGAAATCGATCAGCTTCTTCCTAAATTTAAATAGGAATTTATAAATATATTCTATTTATTATTTTCTTTATACTTTAGTTTGTTCGACTTCAAGAAGCCATTTACGAAATAAATTTTGATTAGTTTGAGATTTATTTTCTTTTGATGTACTATCTCTTATTCGCATTCTTAAAATAGAATATTTATTGAATTAATTAATGAAAACAAAATATTAATTTATTACTTTTCAGTTACAGCTAATAAATTTCCTTCAGCTTGTTGTAATGTTTCTAATTCCTGCAATACTATATTCATATTTTCTTGTGTTTGCCGTTGACGAAGAAATGCATATATACAACCGCCAATAGAAACAAATAATGCTGATATTAAAATCATGTCTTTGAGTAAATTATGAGTTGCTATAAATAGTAAGATAAGATTTATGAATTATATATGCTACATTCTTGAAAGTAGAGTTATGATATTTGTAGTTTTCATCATTTTAAACAAATTAAAGAATTATCTAAGTATTTAATTTAAGGAGCAAAAACTTTTCGATACCAAAGAAAAGAGATCAGTAAAGTATTGATCTTATAAAATTTGTTATTTTTGAGAAAAAAATGCAATTGATTTTTTTTTTTAATATATTGTTCATAGAAAAACTTTGTCATCATTAACAAACTAGGCGAAAAAGTAACAAGCCTTGAGTTGAACGGAAAATTCAATTTCCTCCAAGACAAGGTAACAAAAGAACTCCTTGATTATGATAAAAATCTCATGGTTTTTGAAAGGTGAATTTAGTTGCTCTACATATATACTATTATGTCATACGTTCAATTGAATAGATAGATCAATAATCTAGTAACTAAACAACATAGGTGTTAGACTCATAGACAGACGTCAATCAAAGCGATTTAATCTAACTAATGTCTCATCAATAAAATCTGTCTGACTAATATTAAATAAGACACTATAGCGTAATTATTCATTCGTAGATATTATTACGTAAAAAAAAAAAAATTTTTATCTGTTCATCAAATTATGAAATTGATTAATAATTCTCGTTATTATTTTTCAATAGAAATTCTCGAAATGAGATTAGGATAATATTTACGTTGTGGAGGGCCAAATAGAACAACATCGGTTGCTTTGATGATAAGTCGTCGTTTGTCGCGTACATCTCTAATATGCATTATAGATGAAATGTACATTTTCTCATTAGCTGCTAGTCTAAAGCAATTAAAAATTAAACAAAGAAAATGAGTTTTTATTTGAAAACTAACCTTGGTATCATTCGACCATCAAATTGGTTACGACGAAAATTTTCAACATATTGTGGTAAATGAGCATAATTTACAAGCCAATCGACTACATTATCTGTAGTCCAATTATAAACTAAAAACAGATAAATAAAAATAATTTGATTTTAATCAACAACAACAAAAAAAAATCAATTAAACCTGGATTATTTTGCCATTGTGTCCATAAATCATCAAGTGTAATATGTATATTTACATTTTGAAATTGTTTATATCGTATAGCATCTGTTTTTGATTCAAGTTCTTCTTTAATAAACTAATTAAAGAAGAAAAAAAAGAGACATTCGTTTTTTAAAAATAATATAAAACACTTACATCAGCCCTTTCCGATGATTCAATTAATCCATCTTTATCATCATCCATTTGTTCATGTATTGCACCAATTGCTTGACGACCAAGTCGTTCTTTATCAGCATCAGTACAAAGATTAAAAACACCAGTACATTCTAAAGAAATTTTTCATACGAAAAAATTCTTTTTATTATAAAAAAAATATTTACCTGGATCAGGAATATTATAAGCAATAATATTGTTTTGTTGGCTAGGATAAGAATAATATACAAGTATCGTAAGACAGATAACAGTTAAACTAATGAATTGTTCCATACGAATATACAAATCTAAAGTAAAAATATCGATGTATTTGTTTCGTATATAAAATTCATTTTAGTAGTAGCCTTGTAAAAAAATCATCGTCTAGCTACATACTTGAATTTTTAATCATGGACATTTCGATATTGTTATAGAATTAAATACTCTATCATTAAGATTTTATCACTATGAACTATACTTTATCGATTTTGTTTACACAATTAACTATTGTCTTCTTTTTCTTCTTTTCTCTGTATCTTTCCTTACAAGAAAGAGACATTTTTATGAATATGTCTATACATATTATAATAGAAATTTTCGTCTATCTACTTGAAAAACACTTTAAACAATAATAACAAAACTATTTACTCACACATATTTTAATGAAAATATAAATGCATTAACAAACTAAACATATATATATATATATATATAATCGTTTTTCCTATTTCGTTTTCTAGACTTAGTCATTTCTAACAAACAGATGACTATTGATCCAATAGGAAAAGAAACTTTTGAATTTTTACATTTTTTTTAATTAAATCTTTTAATATTATCTAATCAAATTTGTTTTTTTTCTTCATCTGTTGTATTATAATTGTAAAACCTACTAATACATGTTCAATGTTAGATATCGCTATCAAACATCTGTATCAAATTATGATAAACATCCAATCTTCGCGTTTCGTTTTCTTTTTTGTCTAAAATATAAGATTGACACGTTACATATTTTTATTATATTTAACATGCAATTATAATATGATCATTATTGGTGTACTAGTCATCAGTATGTTTAACATGATATTCGATTCAATTTTGACTTTCTTATATCATCAAATAGATTCGTTCGTAAAATTAAAATGATCATTAAAAAAAAGCAGAATACTATTAAATGAAAATCATACGCATTGATTTTGAAATAATAGTAGAAAGATGAATAATTGTTAAACTATAAAAAAGAAATAAAAAACTCTCGCTGTTAATATAATATAGAGTGGGATATATTCTCTTATTTTTTTTTCGTATATTGACCCATTTGTTATCTGTCATTACAATCGCTAATGAAAGATTGTTCACCATTATAGTTTTAAATATAATAAAGAAAAATAAATCAATATGTTTTTAAAATTATATAGACATTGCTCACTATTTAAGACAATTGACTGTCATGTATGTTATTATCCTGTCTCTTGTGTATTTTTAACAATCAATAAAATTAGACGAAAAAGAGAAGATAAAGTATTGTATTTGGTCTATAGTATTTCATATAGCTGACTAAATAAAGGTCAATGAATCGACTTATTAGTTTCGGATCAGTTAGTTGCTACGGCTAATTCTTCATCTTTCATCTTAACATATTGCTCACGATTCAGAACAAACAATCATTTTCTATATTAAAAATAAAAAATAACCTTCGGTGAAGATACGATAAATCAAATCTGAAATTTGTTTTTTTCGTATTTGAATTTTATTCGAAAACAATAAAAATTAATTATAAATAACTTACATCTTCCTTAAATGGTTACATATCTTTTCTATATTCGAATAACTATTCACATCTCTCATATCTTATGTAAACATACAATTTAATTAACACCTTACACAACTTCAACTTGCTGAAAAATTTGCCTTAAACTCAAAGAACGATAATAATATGACTGATATAACTTACATGCTGAGGATAATACTGAACAACTCTATAGTTCATACAATTACTCATCTAATCTATTTCAAAATAATACTCTAGTTATTTTTTCCTTTCTTTTTGTGTCTCAATAATCACATTCTATTATCATTTTGTTTATAAATAAATTTGTTATATATGTACACGTATTCTTATCAAATAAACGATAAATTATACATCGAAGCTGACGGACTGTCTAATAATGGACATGAGTAAGACTCGTTTAATGTTAGTTATCATTAGATTGATTTGAGAGAGAGAAAAATGACACGCTTGTACCTTCGTTTATTACCAAAAAATATATTGTCTACCATCGACAAGCATGAACCATGGCCTATTAATGAGCCACAAAAAAAGGAGAGTCTGTCATCTCGTATCGATCATGTATCTACCACGGTCCAGTGATCATTTGTTAGAACAGAGAACGTTACACGTTGGTCTATACATGTTCATATCTGTTCATTTTTACGCGTGAGAAACATCGCAAAAAAAAAACAATATACTTGGTAAAGGTTAATAGACGCGCCATCATTTCAACATTCTTATCAAAACATATTTTATCTCATTTATTTTACTAATGGCTTTGCTTGGAGATCCAACTATTCAACGTATTCTGGATGAAGTTAATAAAGCTGCTAGTGGAGGCATATTAGGTATTGCTGGTAATTATATATCTGAACCATCAGATGCTATGACGCAATTTGAATCTCAATTAACATCATCATCGGAAAATAATTTTTATAATCAAGATCAAGCACCACTTTTTTATCCAACACCAGAAATGTTTAGTATTGGCGGTCTTACATCTTTCGATAATGCTAATGATTTAAATTCATTACCATCTCATTTACCAATGTCAATACCAAGTGATTTTGATCTTTATAGTGCAGGTCTATATAATACAATGCCACAAAGTTATTTAGCACCTTATGAAAATTATCATAGTGTAACAAAATTAAATATAAAACATCAAATAATGGATAATAATTCTTTATGTAAACCATCAGGCATGTCATCGACAACAAATGATTTAATATTTGATTTGAATCTTCAACAAGATTATACAACAATGCAACCAAAAAAATCATCATCAAATAATAATATTAATATGAATATGAATAATCATACAACACCACAAATGACTTCAATACCAATTGATATGTCGGATTCAAATGATGCTCAATTGACTTCAGAACATATTGCTGCTGATACAACAGATACAGCATCATTAACAATGAATTTAAGTGCTGATAATCCAGATATGAATTCATTACCATCAATGAATAATCTTGATAATGAACAACAATATCCAAGTAAAAATTTATATATCCTTCTTCTTTTTGTTTCTTTAAATCATTAATTTATAGGTGCTGCTGGAAAAATTTTTCATGATCCAAATCCTCAAATTATTCAACGTAAAGGTTCTCATTCAGTAACATATAAACAAAATATAATTGTTCGATTTTTACAACCACCACCTATTCCTAATGCTGGTCCACTTATTATCAAAGAAGTAAATTTTCAAACAAAAATAATTGTTTCATTAAATCAATATTTTTCTTTCTACCTTGTTATAGGTACATGCTCCACAACCTTCACCACTTCCACCTCTTGTTATTAAACGTAAATTAATTTATTAATTTTTCATTT